GGACCGGAGGACTACAGGACCACGGGGCCGGAGGACCACAGGACCAGGGGACCAGAGGACCACGGACCAGAGCCACACCAGGACCGAGCCACACCTTTGCAAAAAAACAAACCGGACCCACACCCGAGAAACAAACATAAATTTTCCTCAGAAGCCTTGGAAACACTCACCAAAACCTGCCGTAAAACAATATTTGATGTGGTTGGCCATCCACAATATTAAGGCCGTACTATGATGGGGGACCGAAAGGGTTTGTAAATTGGCTCCCTCTTCGGGTTCCTAGTCGGGCTTGCAGCATCTGGCGGGGATTGTCAAAATGGAATTTTCAAGGGGACCCCAGGGATCTATGAGGATTATGAGACATTTGCGGGGTTCTTATGAGCGGTTATTTTGAGAAAGACCTCCGAAAACATCGACCTATTGGGCACTCCAGCTGCGGGTTGTTACACGGCACGTAAAAGCCTGTGGCAGCTTCTGCAACCTTCAGCAGCAAGAGTAAAAACAGGCTTGACCCTCGCAAATCCCAACAATCATTCGAGGTCTCACACCATGGACCCTGGGAAACAGAAGCCAAAACGATGGCCCTGGAGAACACAAACCTTCGAAATTTTACACAGAATCCCCAAACACTCAAAACTACCTAAACCCTAAACCTTGAGTACTGCCCCCCCCCTCAGTAGCAGTTGGACAGTAATCATAATATGGTTATATATAGCCCTGAATAGGACCCCTAATATAGACTGTCACTGGGTGGGGGCAGTACCCAACCTAAACCCTAAACCCTAAACCCTACACCCTAAACCCTAGTCCTCTCAACCAACCCAATGTTGACATCCCTGGGGACCAGGCTTAGGACCTGATTCACGGAAGGCACTTCCGCGGCAACCAGGATGACCAGGCCAATAAGGGACCTTGGCCGAACAGAGGTATTAGGGTTTAGAGTTCAGGGTTTAGGGTTTAGGGTTCAGGGTTTAGGGTTCAGGGTTTAGGGTTCAGGGTTTAGGGTTTAGGGTTCAGGGTACTATAGGATTTAGAGCTCAGGGTTTAATTTAAGTTATATAGGGCAATGTAGGGATTGTGTAGATTACGTATAGGTAATATGAGGTGTACATGGGTAATATAGGGATAATGGAGAAGAAAATGGAAACTATGGAGGAACTCCCTGAAACGAGCATAGAACCCAAGTCCTCATAGAAATTCCCTAAAAAAGAAAAGGTCTCTTAGAAAACCCTGCCGAAGTGTCCTCACCATTTCATCTACCCATGCGAAATCATGCGAAGCTATGGGAGTTTCTCTGAGTTTGAACCCTTGCTTCGACCCACACTTTAAAGAGGACCCAAAATAGCTGTTCACAACTTTGGTGCAACCCCATGCAGGTAGATCACTTTGCTGCAAGCGTTGCTGAGGAAATCAGGGGCTCAAGCCTGGCCCAGGCGTTGATGCCCCACCCTGTATCACGAGCCAAGGTTTTCCATTTTAACCACGAAGAACATCCCTGTTCGTCGAGATGACTTGCAATGTCAGACACTTACAGCCAAATTTACATCGGACGCCAGTTCGGGCAGCAAAAAGATCAAAATAAGACGAGTAAACCTTGCGCACCTTCTATCGAACTGTCGGGAGGTGGTCCCCGACATGAAAACCGAATTGAATAGTATCCTCTGTTGCTCTTCTGTGAGCCCTAGTGTGCGAGGTTGTCCAAGGGACTGCTCCTTTTTGGGCTCAGGGTTTAGGGGTAAGGGTTTGGGGTTTAGGGTTACTTACTGCCCCTGGCTTCTTGCAGTACCAGGGTCCAGCGCATGCTCGCAGAAAGGGCAAGGAAGACCATTTTTGTCCCATGAAGCTGGGAGGGCTTAAGGAGCGCCTCCTGCCCAGGGATAGCTGCAGGGGGTTGAAGAGGAAGCCATTTTGAATGTAATTTCATAATAGTAGTAATAGTAATAATAATAGTAATAGTAATAGTAATAGTAATAGTAATAGTAATAGTAATAGTAATAAGAGGAGTAAGAATAGTGATAGTAATGATAATAGTGCTGAGAAAAACCAGGGTACCTGCTCTCCTTTTGCCTGTGCATGATGCAGCACGGATCGATACGCCTTCTCGCATGATGGAAACACCCCATGTGACCATTCCCAGCAGTTCGCACTGGTTCCACAGAAACACTTCCACGATAACTAGCAGGACCCCAATATAACTTAAAAATGCAGTACCCCTAGTTTTGTCAACCCCTAAACCCTACAAATCCCCTTTAACTACGTACCCCTATCTTGAAAAAGAACTAAGCCCGTCTGATACGAAGACTGGAGGTTGCGCCTTGTCGTCCTCCTGCGCGTTGACGTCTGCTTGACTGTCCTCACTAGAACCTTGCAATGTTGGAGGTCCCTCCAACTACCCTCAACTGGTTTGCTGTTAAGGAACCTAAATTAAGGTACCACAATATGGATATATAGTAAAGAAAAAGGGTTTCCTTATTCTGGTAACTTGACTCAAGTTCCTTAACAGCAAGCCAGTCTATTGTGGCCTAGTGTGAAGGACCCTTTCTAAAGGTACACAGGCTGAAAGCTTCTGCAATGTCGGGTGAAGTTGCAGGGGCCCTCGGGGCTTTCCAGTGAAAATTCCTGGCTTCCCAGCCTTCGTTGGGAGTTTCTAACAGTGGGGGGATCCCTCGGATATCCCAGTATATGATAGTCCTCATTTTAGGGACCCCCAAACCCTAAACCCTAAATCCCAAACCCTAAACCCTAAACCCCTAAACCCCAAAACCCTGCTGTTGAGGTACTCAGATTCGAGCTCGAATCTCCTGTTTCCTTCTGAAACCAGCTTTGAAGGGCGGCATCGCCCACCATGAACAGCGGATACCTTGCCCGGGCCGAAAATCTTAATTATAGGGTTATGTAGGGTTATGCAGGGTTGTGTAGGGTTATGTAGGTTTATGTAGGGCTATGTATGGTTATGTAGGGTTATGTAGGGTTATATGAAGAAGGGTTATATAGGGCTTATATACGGTTATGTTATGTAGGGCCTGTCGGGTTTAGGGTTTCCCAAAATTAGGGGTACCATTTCGGGGTCCCCATAACAATAATGACTACAGAATGTTGGGGTTCTATGTTCGGGTCAACCTGTTTATGGAGGCTTCCTGCTGTTGATGGAGGATCCTTGGCCTGTGATGAACCCTACTTTGGTCAGTCAATCAGTTCTGCACTTAGAGGGTCCAAGGACCCAAATAGTGACGGTTTAGGTCCCAGATACCATTCAGATTATAATATTAGGGTCCTAATGGCCCATTATTTGGGTCCTTGGACCCTCATGGTTGATTGCTAATCAGCAAGACTACGCTGTTGAGTAGTGCCGTCAGAATTGGGGAAGCGGTTACCGGAAGTCAGTGAGGGTCACAATCGCAACTAGCAAAAGAAGGCTTTAGGACAACATCAGACTAGAGCATTCGAGTGTCATGACATAGGTACCAGGACAACTATAAACTCCCTCAACGTAGCCGAAAGCATCAATATATTCTATATACTATATTTAGTACACACATATGCATATATATATATGTATACACATTACATACTATATGTCATACTGGTATAGAAATAATGTAAGAATTCTGGGCCAGGTACATCTGAACCTGGAAGTTGATAAGCTGCACGATGCACACCGTCACTTTGCAGAGCTGGACCTGAAAATTACCAAGCAGCTGTGAGCATCTGAGTAGCGTTTTGTTGGTGGTTGAACCTAGTAAGATCCTATTCCTCATATAAAATACTATACCCCAAAAGGAGAATATCAAAATGCTCTAAATTGGGCACCATTGTATCCCCAAATAAAATACTACTCATCTAGTATTGGGGTTATATTGGGCTATATTGGGATAATGGAAAATGAAATGGAAACCCTAGGTCCCTCTAAAGGGATATATAAGGTTATATAGGGATTGTATCGGGATAATGGAAAATAAAATGGAAACTGCTATTTAGGGTTTAGGATTCTCGGAGGGAGTTGCTCTACATAAGATTGTAGGCTGTTGCGCAATTACAATGATTTGTCAGGGACTGGGGGGGGTACTTTCAGAAGCTTCGCAACACTGGATACATACAGGTATGTGCTTGCTAGGCTTCGTCATCTTCATCACAGAAAGCCTCCAGCACAAGAGCTCCGACCCAAAAACGACCATGAACACATCACAAGTGGGTGGAGTTTATCAGCATGCGGGGGCCTTGGGGAAGGCCGGAAAAAACGGGGGATGCCTAGGCCTTGCAAACCCTCTGGTCTCCATTCCAGCGCAGTAGGAATCAGTTTTTTGAACGGCTCCAACTGTCTTCAAGTTTCCCAGGCTGTGGCCTTCTACAAAGCCAGAAGTGCTGGGCAATCTCAATTTCATGACATGAGGTTAGCTACTGGTTGCAACATTCTGAGCTTTCAGCAGACCTGCTGTCGGGAAGTACATTTCACGTGCCACAGCCCAAATCCATGGGGAGAACAATAGGGTCGCCCATTCCGCGGCTGGAGAAACACAAAATTATTGCAACACACGGTCCCGGTGGTATTTTCCACGGAAAGAAGTCACGGAATTCCTTCGCAAATACTCGGCTACGCTCAGGTGGCAGCTTTCTACCAGGATAGAACGGGGAAATCTGTCCCAAGAGCGCAATGTGATCTTTGGGAGGTTTCCAAGTTTCAGGCACCCGCTGTATGGAGATTACACAGAGAGTCCGGGACCCCTAATAAGGATTCTAGAAGGATAGTTTTGAACCGTTCCCAAGTCTGTACAGTAGATCATGCCTCATGATCAGGCTGAGCCACATCGAGGGAGTCAGCCGGGAAGCTTTCATAGATGATTTCGGACACTCCGTCACCATAAACGCCGAAGCCAAAGCACCCTGCAGACAGCTCCATCGCATCGAGGCAGAAGTAATAAGTATATGAGAGTAGTTATGCGAATAATGTTAATGAGGAATGCTAATACTAGTAATGTCTCTCAGCAACTAGGCACCTATTGAAAATTCCGTAAGTCTGTGAGTATCGGCATTATGACGATCATGTGAAACCCTTAACCTGTCCTGCCTATGAAGGCAAAGAGGATCAGAGCGAGCGCGTGGCTGACAATCACAACCCTGCCGGGCTTTACGAGTCTAATGCGCACCCAGTTACATGGGTTTATCTGAGGTTCTTCGGGGTTATGTAGGGTTCTACCGGTTATGTAGGGTTATTCGGGGTTATTTGGGGTTATGTAGGGTCATATGGGGTTATAGGGGTTTTTGGCGGGGTTATGTAGGGCACCCACCCAACACGATTTAGGGTCCAGGATGTAAGGGATGGAAGGCATGAACATTCTTACATACCTGGAGGCTATAGTCCCGAACAGAGGAATATAATCCCCATATAATACCTTCCCTTCTTCCCTGCTGACCCCCAGTAATAACCTTGCAAAACAGGCCATCCTCCTTTGCTTTCAGGTGGTCATGTGCTTGCGGGAGGCCAGCACCTACCTTCTCTTCGCCTAGACCGGCTCTCCAAATTGAAAGCTGCGGTGCTGCTGCAGTTTTTTGCAGAAGCGAGTTCCGTGCAATGAAAGAAGCCACCCAACTCGTAACAGATACACCCTATGGCCCTATGAGGCCCTGAATCTCCCGCTGACGCCTCTTGAACGGGGCCGGATCCTGCAGCTGCATGTCGGCAAAAGCGTACTGTGACACCACGACCTGGACATGAACAGGCTGAACCGGATTTGGGGTGCAGCATACTACACACGAGAAGAAGGTTTAGAAGTTGAAGGTTTCAAGCTGACCCTCAAGAAAAAGTTTCTCTAGATGTTCCTGCAGAACCCTTGAGGCTCGTACGATCGCCTTACAGATCCCTAAGGTATCCTGAGGCCCAGGGCTCCCTTTTCAAGAAACCGTCAAGCCCGAAGACCCAAACAATACACCATGAGCCTTCTACATTCCCTAGACGCCCTCGAAGACGCAACCCAAAACCTGCAAACCCAGAACCCTAAACCCTCAAACCCTTAACCTGAAATTCTAAAACCTTAAATCCTAAAACCCTAAATTTTCAAAATCCTAAATTCTAAAATCCTAAAACCCCAGCCCTAAGCCCCAAACTAAATCTTAAAACCCTAAAACCTCAAATACACAAAACCGGCCCAGGCTGCGCCCTCGAAGGCTGATATCGCTGGCCCCAGGAAGGAGCCCAGACCTGGTCTGGCAAAGTTACAGAGGCTTTTCGTTTATAGGGTTTAGGGTTTAGGGTTTTAGGGTCTAGGGTTTTAGGGTTTTAGGGTTTAGGGGTTAGGGTTTAGGGGTTAGGTTTTAGGGTTGTATGAGGCTTTATGGTGGTTTCTCGGGTTTATAGGATTAGGGTCTGGGGGTTTTACAGGGCTGTATATGGGTTTATGGGAATAAAGTTAGGGCTTAATGGTTTTAGGGTTTGGGGTTTCAAGGTTTTAGGTTTACAGGGTTTTAGGTTTTAGGGTTTGGGGATTCTAGGGATCTAGGATTTTGGGCTTTGATTTTAGGCTAGGATCTTAGGAGTTTAGGGTTTTACGGTTTTAGAGTGTTAGGAATTCAGGGTTTTAGGGGTTTAGGGTCTTAGGTTATTAGGGCTGTAGGATTTTTAGGAATGTAGGGTTTTAGGTCTTTAGGATTTTGGCGTTTTAGGGGTCAACGGTTTCGGGGTTCCGGTGCTTTGGGCTTAGGGCTTCGTGATGAAGATAGGGTTTTCAAGCTTATGTTGTACGGGGAGTATATATTCGGGAAGTGGGTCTCGCATTGGAGAAACTTAAAGTTACAACTTACAACCTACATAACTTACGGGACACAGATCCCTACGTGCTTGTTCCTGTTTAGACGTCAGCCGTCGTTTCGCAAGATTTTGGCACGAAAAGGGAGGAACCCACATCACGACAACTCAAACGGAGACCGGCGCCACTCCAAACCTAAACCATGTGAGCTATGGTCTGAAATCCTAGTATCCCCCTTACTAACCCCTATACTAGTCCCTTATAGAATCCCCTATAGAACACCCCTGCTAAAAGGAGTTTAGACTATAGCTCATGTTTTCCTCGTCTTACCCTTCCCCAAACTAAGTAACATGCAAACTGAACATCGCCCCTTTCAGACTGACTTCAAACGGGTGTGTATGGGGTTCCATATTAAGTTGGGGAAGGGCAATCCTCCCAGAGCGAACACACCCAAACCCTAAACTGCACTAGCCTTACTGCTGCATCAGACGGAGTAGGGGAGTGACTATAGGGACTCTTATATGGCATCTATGGGGGTCCTAAAGGGATTATTACAAGGATCTACCACCCCACTCCCCCTAAACCCGAAACCCGAAACCCTAAGCCCTATCCTCTCCCCAACTCTCCCTAAACCCTATAAGCCCTATCCTTTCCTCCACTCTCCCTCAAGCACCCGGAAGTAGCGGCCTGCGAAGCGCAGCGGCATCCAGGAGTCTGCGAAACTGTCCCGACCGGCCTGGATCTCAACCTTGGGATGAGGCATTCGCACTGTGGGGCGCTTGGTCTTGCTGGGGGCGAATAGGGAGCTAGGGAATACATAGATATAAAATATAATATAAGAAACTATAATATCAATAAGAATATATATATATATGTATATTATGCCCTACTACATCTCCACGTATAATCTATTCCCTTATTCCCTACTAACTGCCAGTAAGTCTTGAGGCGCTTGCTTGAAATTTGCAATTTACTAGTGCCCTGGCCAGGACCCAAATAGTAGGATTTGCGTTGGGATGGAACATATTCATCAGATGCCTGCATTAACAATCTTGTGTGTGCGGTTAAGCGCTGTGTTGGGGGCTTTAGTATAGGGGTGGGGCATGGTGCAGCAAGTCTCGTGTAGTGTCAAGAGCACTAACCTGGTACGCACAGTGTCACTTGTGAAATCTACAACTGCAGCCCTAGTAATTATAGCGAACCTTAAGTTATCCTGCATACAAGTTGCAAGGCTTCCCACAAAGACACTACCAGCATGCTAGGCTCCTGGCAATACCGAAATGCAGAAGGGCCACGGCGATGTACATGAAGGCCTGAATGGAGACGGGTCTACCCGCTTACCGAAGAGTGCTCGCAAAACAACATGGTACACTAAAGAATCATGCTGAATGTCTATGAGAAAAGATGTAGCTACAGCGATCGGGATGCTAGAGCAGTAGCTGGTACAGTAGCTCACTAGAAGTTTTGGAGTTTCCCTGAATCAAACAGGATAACCCCCGCTCTTGAGCCTCTAGCAAAGTCAGGTCAAAGAAGTTTCTCACGGTTTAGGGTGTAGGGTTTAGTGTCTGGGGGATCCTAATCTCCAGATTGGAAGCCCGTTTGATCTAAATTTGAGCTAAAGCTGCTTAATTCATTGCTGCCGGCTATCTAATCAGATTTCAGAACCTCAACATAAGCCAAGTTGGGATCATCCTCTATACTAGTGTATGAGAACAGATCACCATTTGGGGCAAGGTCGGTAGCATTTGCCCAATAACCCTTCCCAGATCCTCGGGTAGCAGCAGCTAACTTGAAGGTTCACAGGGTGCATTGTAAGTGGGAGTTGTAAGTCCCCTACATTCTGTAAGAACAACTCCAAGTAGGTTGTAGAAGGTCGATTTGGTCTAGAGCTTTGGGAGCTTGCGCTGACCTAAGCAAATATGCCACCCAACATCAGGATGTCCAAAAATTGGGCTTGGCGTTTAGGATTTAGGGGGATTCTAGAACACGGGCTGTAGCGTTTGGAGTTTACAGAGGGGTCCCGGGGTCCTTGTTGCTTTTGGAGCTATCCAAAAGGGATCCGTTTTAAGCTGGACCGTCGCGGCCAGGCTGCAACCAGCGCCACAATGGACAACCAGGCAAGCCCCTTCCTCCGACATCAGGGTTAAGGTTCAGGGATTGGGTGTACTAGCTATACGTGCCCTGTAAGACAGGGATAATGGACAAGAAAATGGAAGCCGCAAGGGGGTATATAGGGATGGACAAGAAAATGGAAACTACAATTTAGGGTTAAGGGTCTAGGGAGTGGGTGTATGGTGTTGAGGTAAAGTCTGGCATAGTTTGCTGAAAGACTGATGCCTTCTTGATGCGATTGCTAGTGACGAGCTTGGCATGTGTATTTTTCGGCAACAACTTTCCAGAACACCCAAGCTATGCCGATATGAGACAAAAAACAGCCAGGGAGGGACCCAGTAGTTTTTGAGAGCCGATGCCTGGTACTGCAGCACTGTATCACCACAGATACCTTCAGCACCACATCACGCAACGCATTCTTCACAACACAACCTGATCTTGACAACCAGAATATCCCCTCTGCCGAATATTAGCCCCCCACCCCTTACTGGTGCTAGAGCTGGAGTGAAGGGATGGATTATACTATCCTCAAATGAATCTCCGCATTTACGATCATCGCTTCACCGTTGGCAGGTTCCAATGCTAATCAGATTCATAACACATAATACTATATACTAACAATAAGGACGGGATTCTGATAACAGTAGAGATGAGATGATAATATGGTAGAAATTATTCCAATGCTCACCCAGCATCATCTCTTTGATGAAGCTCATGACACCGGAGACTCCAAACCTGAGGTTCTCCGTAGGTATACTGCGAAACACCAGCGTTATGTGTGTATATATAAATGCATGTACATCTCTCTCTATAATTGTATAGAGGCATATATGCTCATATAACTACATATAGATTTCTAAGAATGGCAACAATAGTACTAATGTCGATGGCTGTCATTATCAGTTTTATTCCTACTACGCGAGACGATAGGTACTACCTGGTTGTAACCCGCACCTTTCCCTACCTAGGAGGCTTTGGAGTCCTGGTATGTTAACTCGTCAATCTCAAAACCAACTCTGCCACTCCCCAAATTTTAACAGAATTTTCAGGTGGGGAGTTTCCAGGTGGGTACACTTGGGTGCCCTTAGAGAAGGCGTTTATGAGGCAACCTGGAGGTATATGATGGTTACGTAAGACTTATACGGGGTGAACTGCCCATCTGGGAATTACCTTCAACATCCCAGACCCTGAGCATGCCTGTGGTTGGTAAAAGCAGCATTGTGGCTTGAAAGCATGTAGATCCCACGAGATGCTAAGGAAGAACTCGGAGTTAATCAACCTCCATGCCCACCTCGACACTCGCAGTGATGAAACCATGAGATTCGCACGTGAAACCCACGAATGCAAGTAGCGGATATCTAACTCCAATATCCCGATCTTGACTATTGACAGAAAGGGTAGTTCCATCAACAAGGTAGACCCCAATATAGACCCCAATATACTACAATCCTCATTATGGGGACCCCCAAAGTATGGTACTTCTACCTTTGGGTGCTGTCTGACTGGTTCACAGCCATGGTACACCCACAGCTGAACAGTCAGCTTAGTGAGCCCGCACATCTTCATCACTGTGGGCACTATGACGTCGGTGTAGGCCTGGGTTGGTAAAACCTAGGGTTAAGGGCTTGGGATGGCTTAGGGTTTAGGGTTTAGGATGGTTAAGGGTTTAGGGTTCAATATGAGATTTAGGGTTTAGGATGGTTTAGGATGGTGGCTGGTATGGAGTTTTGGATTGTTTGGGGTTTGGGCTGGTTTAGGGTTTAGTCCCCTTCCACCAACATGAAACGCACCGCACACGCCCTGATGGTCAAGATTGCCTACGATAGACCTTTGGTATCGGGGGGGATACTGCATGTGACAGGGTGGGCGGGTGTTTGAATTTTGCTGGAAGGGATCGAGTGCAGCATACCTAAGCCACGCCAGCTGCACACCATGAAACCTGCTGTAGACTGTACATATCTCGTCGTTGTGGACAAGCACACATAAACACTGCCTGGAACGAATAAGCCTAGCATTGTTCAAGTTTCATCTCATACTTCTTGTTCATTATCAGCCTTGCACCCACTAAAGATAATACACCAACGACATCAAGGTTCAGAATCGCATAGCTGTCATACATGAACCTAGGATAATCAAGACGTTCAAGTATATGCAGACTAAGAGCTTCAACTTGACCCCTGGACCCAAGACCTGACCGCACGTATCATCCCTAAAATGTTCAATGTCTGTAGCAGGGAAGAAGAAAAATATGTTGAAAGGGGCCATACAAGGATGATACCAGTAAGATGTAGTTAGCATACAGCCGCTAGACGATCAAAATCGTGGTCCCGTCTTGGGTACACTATATTCTAGCCTCCCGTACTCTACGAGGGACCAATAACAGGACCAGAATTGCAACAATCGCTATATATGACTGACTTCCAATGTCTCCAATGCGGCCTAAGCGCGAAATCCTGAACCTTAAACCCTAAACCGTGCCCAGGTACCACAGCAAGTCCAAACTGTGCAGCTAAAATGGCCTCGGGGCCGGGGCGGGCAAAGAACATGAGGGTGGCTGTCAAGATCATGGTCCATTTGTGCGAAGACCCGAAAAGGGACCAGGATGTTGATCTGCCCAACCGTAGGAGAACGACAATCAGAAGAACGCGAGCCACATCACTCCTATCTGTAGTTTCAGCAGCAATTACAAAATTCGTTGACATCAGAATAACAACAGGACTGTGGTAGTGGCAATGCAAAACTAGCAAGACGGTGGATGGAGCAAACCATACATAGCCTATATTCTAGGAGTTGTCCGAATCGCAATACCAAGGCGGTCGGGGTGGGGCTATATTGCTTCCTGGTGGTTAATAAGGATTAGGGGAATATCATCCCGATTTAAAATATGTTCGCTTATTCCCTACTAACCGTTGCTAACACCAAGTAAGATTGGGGCTCCCTATTTGCGGAGGCCCCAAAGCTACGGCCTTCTTCTCTACTAAGCGTTACTAACCCCCAGTATGATTGGGGCTGCCTACTTGCGAAAGCCCCAAATCTGCGACACTGGGCTTCCCGCAATCAACGCGCAGCGGACGCCGTTGGGCCCGAAGACCTCAAGAAGACTGGAACCGCAAGGATCGCCCTAAACTCTACACCCTACATCCTAAATACCAACATTGGGCCCTAAAGTCTACAAATATTACCTACATTGGGCTATTTGGATCCTTAATGGAATGGTAAAACCCTGCAAAAACCCAAGAACACGGGGGGGCGTAATCTGCCTGGACTCCTCCTACCCTCTATTTGGCCTGTTGCCGGGGATATATATATATATATCTCTGTCTCTCTCTTTCTTTCTTTCGTTCGGGATCTGCGGAGACCCAGGTTGGGTCCGCCTGGGCATCCTGCCCAGCCCTTGTAGGGCTGAACTGTTGGTGAAATAAAAAGATAGTGGCTCGGAAAAGGACGAGGATAGACTGATGGTTTGGCCACTATTCTCTTACACATGGTAGGCTTCACCGTGCTCGCCAACCGGTTTGAAACAGGGAAAGTAGACTTTGGTCATAGCTGTGAGTATGATTCAATGTTCGGGTTGGCTCATTGTGAGTGAGACTGCATGAGGCTTGACGGTAGTTGTGACCAATAAGAGTGTAGTATAGCAAAGACAAGGACGATTGATTGCTGCATGAGAGAGGGCGAAATGTGATTGGCTAGTATTGGCCTCATTTCTGTAATGAGAGTTTAGTGGCTGGCTCACTGCTCTGGGGTAACTGTGTCCGCAATGTAATTGTGCAGCATTTTGGGCTTGCTGTCCCCGTCAGCAAAACTATGGCCTTCTCACTTTTGTTGGCTTTCTTATTTCGAGGAACTGTTAAAGCCCTGTGGCAGGTTAACGAGTTTTTGCCATCCCTTTAGTGGAGTTTTGCCCAAACAGCAAAATTGGCTACCTTTGCGGTTGGTGCCTTGGCCTACTTCGCTGAAGCAGCGGCTGGAGCAAAATGCTCCAGGCATCTCCAGGCTGTTGCAATCGTGTCCTTGGTCCTCGTTGTGTGACTGCCTCCGCGTCCAACCAACCTAGCTGGCTCCTCTCTACGGCTTGTCCTCGTGGTGGTGTAGCCGTGGCACTGGCTACTTTTCTCCCCTGATACCACACCGTGCCCATGGCAAACTCTACCTGAAGCTCTACGTCGCCTTTCTGGAGTTTGGGAGTAGCTCAACCATATATGCTTTGGTTGCCCATCTGGGTTGATCGCTGCCGTGGCTTGGTTGGCTTTCCTGACCATTTGGATTGCCTGAGTGAGCCTGGTGCACATGGCTTGTTCTGATTCTTGCTCTGTGCTTGTAAGGGATGACCAGGTAGCCACGTCTGAGCCTAGGAACAAAGGCCTTTCGCATGTCAACTTCCAGTCTGAGGTTGTGGCACGCGTCCTTTGCCAGTTGGAGAGTGGTGGTTGCTTCTTGGTCATCTGCCCATCCTCCCATGATGAGTGCTGGTTGCCTATCCTCTGCTGTGGTGGTTGAGGTGGCCCTGGAAAGGATTGGACGAGATTCCAGCTTGGCAAGGCATTGTTGTATGTCCTTGAATGCGTCCTGGTTCTCCTTGTCCTTGAGCTGAAGGTTGCTCAGTTCTGCGGAGTGTTGGCTCTGAGTATTTGCGATGGCTGTCCAAAGGTTGAGCGCTCTTTCATTTTGTCTGTGAAGGCCATTTCGACTGGGCCAATCCTGACCTCCACCGTACCAACCTTTGCTATGAGTGGCAGGATAGCGTTCTGGAACATCTCCAAGAGTGGGGTGCCTTCTTGTGTTCCCTGAGCGTTGGGGCATGGTCTCTTGGCACCTGGACTGTCCACGTTCACCTCAATGGGTGTGGTTGGCCTATGGGTGGCCATCTTCCAAGGTAGTCTGCCAAAGGTGTCCTTGCCAGAGTCACCTTCTGGTATGTGATCTTGTCCCTCTCCCAGCGGGGAAGAATGTGGAAGGAGACAATAGGGCGAGTTTAGCGCTGGGTCAAAGGCCTGTTGTGCAGCAAGTGACTCCGTGCAGGAGCGTCCAGGTAGGTGATCTTGGCTCCACGGTGGAAAGTGAAGACGCGTAGTGGTGCGATCTTGCCAATGAGAACGATGGCTGAGGTGCAAAGACAAAGGATCAGGAGTTCCTCCTAAAGCCCTCCCGAAGCCCTCCCGTGCACGAAGGAGAGGTGGAGTGTCCTAACCGTGGGCTCACGGAATGTGTAGGGGGCTTGAGGCTCGTGGCTTGAGCGAAAATGGCTATCTCTTTCTTTCTTTCTTTCTTTCATGAGGGCTATATGAGGGCTTTGGGGAAGGCCCTAGGGCCCCCCTGGGCTTCAACGCTCAGCTCCTGTTGGGTTGACCTGTCCAAACACACCCCCTCTACGCTTCACAGGCAACGGTCACAACAAAGCATACCAGCTGAAACAGGGGCCCACCTACAATAGTTGAATAATTGAGTGAGTTGCCCAACGTGAAGTCCTTTCCCAACGCTGTGCCAGTGTCAACAGGGGAAAGTTTGGGGCCTTCTTAGAGTAGAACACCATATGGTAAAGCTAGTTGTCTTGCAAAACTTTGCGGTGAGTTTGTGTCGTGGAATGGCTATCTCTCTCTCTCTCTCCTATTAGGGGTAAGAGGAGGCTGGCTTTATGATTTTTAGGTCTGACTTTTTTGGCTGGAGGTGAATCGGATTCTTGGGCCTCTGGAGTCGCAGTCATTAATGAACTCAGGCTATTACCAACACATGACACGCAGGCAACCTCACATCACCCTAAACCCTATACCCTAAACCCCAAATGCCCGTAAAACTTAAGTGTTTCGCCTTAGTCCGAGGTGCCTCGCCAGAGATGTCTCCCAAGGGCCCGAGACCGTGGGAGGAGGCCTACCATACGGAGAGGCCGAAATTAGAACTGGAATCATTCAGGGGTTCAGGGTTTGGGGCTTTGGGTGCTTGAGCTTGTGACTGCGGGGGTCTGGCAGTCTAGGCGTTGGGTCATAGCGGGCTTCTGCAGCTTTGCGCCTGGCAGCTCAAGTGATCGTCCAAGAAACGGTATCATCTAGAATCTAGAGCATGTGTTGAAGTTCCCTTTCTCTGTTTTTCCGAAGGATAATGCACTGTGGCTGTCACGTCTGTGGCAGTGACAAGAGATAGAAGGACGAGGTAGAAGAAAAAGTAGAAGGCGAAGGACAGAAACGACAACTCCGACCCTTAATTTTCCTGTCATGCCTAAACCTTCTACCAAAAGTTATTGCTGAAGAAGGCACGGAAGCCTCTGAATCACCGCGCGGAGGCTTTGGGTGCATGGGCGGAAGCGAAACTGCTGGAAGATACTGAGCTGGTAACGTGACCGAAAGCACTACCATGCCATGTTTCCATATTACTACATTGGTTCATGACAATACTTACAACACGGGTTGATAACAATGATTGTGAATACTAAACAGCACTTCCAACGATGCCATGCCCTAACATATCCCAATTAACCTCATGTTGTCATTGAATTTTCAATTTTCTGGTTCATGTGATTCTCCATTATACTATCCTATAGCTATACATTTCATCTTTCATGTTTTTTGCAATTGTCTCTCCATGTTCATCCGAAACTGTAGTGCGCTGTCTGCCTCCACATCTTGCAGGTGACGAATCTTCACATAGCACTGCGCCACTCGGTAAGTGCCCGTACCTGGCTTAACAAGGGGTTGTTTGGGGTGCTTAATGTGTATACGATACATGCACATATGAGTTTGTGGCTGAGGATTGAATTTTGGCCTGCGATTTTTGTTAGCAAAGTAAATAAGAAGCCAAAGCGGGTTGCTCTAAAAAAACGTGTTGCCTTTCAGGGAATCACTGTGCGGGTACATAGCGTTTCGGTCCGTCCCTTCTGACTCAGTGAACAAAGGTTCTTCCTACGTAGGCTCTTATGAAAAGATACGAAACGGCATGTGAGCCAAAGTCTAGACTCCGAGTAGCCCTCTGAATAGCCTCTATGTAGTCCCTGGTATACTCCCCGAGATAACCCCCCTTTAAAGAAGCTTAGACTCGAGCTCCTGTTTGGAGAAACTTTCCTCTTCTTCGAGTTCTAGGCCAGGACCCCTCTTGTTCACTGCACTCTGGTAATACTTAACAAGAACAGCAAGAGTAATGATAGTTCATAGTAGTAATAACCACTCTTGTTAAGGTATCGACATCGTTGTATCCCCTGCAAGCAAGGTCGTGTTGTCTTATGGTCGCTGTCCGGTCGGGTAGCAGCTGCATGTTCTGAAGTCTCTGTGAAAATCTTGGGGCTTGCGTGACTAGCACTAACAGATAAGCCCCCCCAGCGGTGTACTCCCCAATCTCAATAACCACAAACAAAATTGCAAGAATGGAGATTTGGGGGTGCTGAGCCCCCGGGTAGGTCATGATTCAAGTTAGAAGAGTCTAGCCCTGCTGACCATCCCCAGGCGGGGTAGATACAAGATAGGGCGTATGGAGCACATTCTCCCCGTTGTCACATCTCCTATCTTACTGAAAGCCGAGAATAGTTCACCCGAGGTATACTTGCATTCCCCCAGAAAAAAACTTCGCACAAACATTCACTCCAATGCCCACTCACAACATGGTATGAAAAAAAAACCTTAAGGCCTTAGTCCGCAATCCCTGCGAAACCGTTGTTTGCCAACAACTTAGAGCTTAAGGTTTGCAAGCACTCCACAAGTATGTAGGACAACGGAACCTTTTTGTGGGCGTTGGGCCAAATTTACTTACTTTTGGGGTCCAGGTTTGAGGGTTCGACCGCAATTCTTGAACCTTGCGGGCTTGGGATGGCGGTCCCAAGGCCCCGACCCAGCGCTACGCACACGACGATGAGCCTCTGATGCCGGCGGCTGGCTTAGGCACTGGAAGTCTCTGCAGATTAGGGTTTAGTGTTCAGGGTTAAGAGCTGAGGGTTCAGGATTTAGGGTTGAGGGCTTAGGATGTAGGGTTGAGGGCTTAGGGTTTGGGATTAAAGGCTTAGGGTTTTGGATTTAGGGTTTACGGTTTAGGATTCGGAGTCCTGCATGTTATAAGAGAGCTTCGGCAACCCCAACCCCCAAAATGAGGGCCTATGACGATCATAGGACTCTTACAGTATCCTCCTTAGAGGGGTATGGATTACTAAGATCCACTTGGTACTAGTCATGATGAGGACAAGAAGGCGTCTGTATGATTTTGAGAGATGCCATCTGTAGATAAAAGGTAGGGGTGTAGGATTTAATTAGGGCTTCTCACTCATGGCGTCAAGCGCCTTGAAGCCAATGAAACAAGCATTTCCCTCACAGCGGCATAGGGAAGCTTTGCGAGCACGGTTGCCTTGAAGGGCTTCACAGCAGGCATGACTGGGGGCATTTCAAGTTGCTCTTTGATCTTCTGCTAAACCGGAGGCTAATCCACAACCCGCATGAATCAATATCACTGCTGCAATTGCTTGGCTACCGTGCCATCATCCTGGTGGCCGCGCACTACATTCTCCATCCTTTGCACCAGTGTCATCTTTGATCCTGATGCCTGGAATTTCTAAAATCCAGGGCTGCTGGTCTGGGACTCCCTGCCATCAACAAGGATTCTGACATCTAAGAATATGTATTATGTGTACGTATATATATGGTTCCATCATACATCCATGCTCATCTACACACACGTGTATATATATATATATACACTCAAATGTGGGAACCCCGGCTTTTGGAAAACGTCCACCTCATTATCTGGGAGGCCAAGGAGCCCCACAAGAGCCAGCGTGAGCCGAACTTCGGCAAAGGCAGCCGGCAGTGTCAGGCAGCACAGGCCTATGATCGCCTTCCTGGGATTCTTACAGGGTCCATGTGGGTATGGGTATGGGGATGTTGAAAGTTTTCTTGTGGGATATAGAGGATTACATAGATGTGTAGAATGAATGTGTAGGAATAAGATCATAGACATAGACGATCTCGCAGCAGTTCCAGGGGGATTGTACCCAAATACCTATAGATCTCTGCTTGCTTGATGGCCTTTTTCCTCTTGGGTGCTCTCCACGGTTTGAAACCTGTTTCCATTCTCTTTTCCATTATCCCCATACAACCCCAATATACTATAGTAGTTTCCATTTTCTTTTCCATGATCCCAAAATAACCCCTATATCCCCTTTAAGGATGTCTCTGCGCAGAGGAAACATCTCTACATCGCTTGCTACCCAGGGCTGCATGCCACGAGCTGAACGGGGCAAAGGCTCCCCTGGATGCTTGGAGACTCCAACCTTACTGGGGGTTAGTAGGGAATAAGGGAATACATTATTTAAGGAGAATATGGGGATTATATAGGGATCAGAGTATTGAATACATTACATACGGGTAATATGGGGGCTATATAGGGATCATAGCACATTGTTCCCTTCTCACGACCAGTAGGCAACTTGCAGCAGTGCGTCATGACGGCTATGGTAGCCAACAGCGGAGAGAGAGGCTCACTTGGTGAGGATCGCGCAGCTTGAATAGCCATGGCAACGACCTTCCTCTAGAAGGATGAGGAGCGGTACAGCTCAGAACAGCAAAGCCCTTTAGGAACTTTGTATGTTCTGAGGGCTAGATGGGGAAACCGGGAAGTCAGGTGGGTAGGGTGGCACCGACATATGCGGGTAAAGGGGAGGACATCCTTCTTCAGTCTGAGCTGTCTGCAATTTGTGGTTACTTGGGGGCTGGGGATCTCCATATGAAGGGTTGACTGAAGTGACTAAAGGCCTAGAAGGGCTACTAGAGGACTAGTGACGGGTCATCATGAGTATATGATATATGTACATATGCAACTGATACCGAAACTCAGCATCCTGAACCTCTCAGACTCGAAGAGAGCCTCAACTTGTGGACTCCTTGCATGCTTGAAAAACAGACCTCTGACCATCCCCAGAATATGGCTGCAACAGCTGCGGCAGTGTCAAAGCTGTCATCCACATGAAGATCCTCAGCAGCATGAGGGGCCAATAATCGGTAGATACCAGCATCCGCAGCAGGGGCTATGTGTGGCAAGTGCTCTGAATGCATCTGTAGGCGTGTTCTGAAAATCAGCAAGCTAACTACCAGGGAAAGTAAAGATGCATGTATGCTGCGCGATGTCTAAATGCAGGTCAACACTGCGCACACAATTCTTCAACCTGTGCCTGACCCATTGCAGGTCCAATCTCACAATTCAAGCAAAAATCCGCCTCACGCATATATGTTGGGGTTCGCTGGCAGGGAGACAGCCAAGGAAAGCAGCGAAAAAACTTATCCAGGCTTTCTGAACAAACCGGACCCTGAACCCTAAACCCTCAACCCTACAGCCTGAACCCTAAACCCCAACCCTAAACCCCAAACCCTTAACCCAAACCGCAAACCCTAAGGCGGGAAGCCTGAATCCTCGCAGGCCAAACCATGCTAGGTCCTTGGTAATGTAGGGGCCTACAGAAATAGAATATCCTGGGCCCCAAAAGTATGTAAAATAATGGCCTTTATGGCCATTACTAGGGGTTTAGGGCTATTATTTTACCTACTTTTGGGGTTTAGGATACTGTTTAGGGTTGAGGGTTCAGGGTTCAAGGTTCAGGGTTTAGGGTTCAGGATTTGGGATTTAGGGTGGAAGGTGTAGGGTTCAGGGTTTGGGGTTCAGGGTTTAGGATTTGGGGTTTCATTTAAAGGGTTGGCAACTTGTTGGGCCTTTTTGTTGGGAGTGCCCCATTTTTTGGGGGGATGCCGTACTCTACCAGGGGCCGCCAACAAGACCATGATGTCGACAAACTACCACGTAGGGAAATAGACGGTCTAAGGGATTTTTGGGTTTGGGGATTGGGTAGGGTTTATGGTTTGCGTGTTGAGTCTACGGACCGAAAAAATTGCAAATGACAATGAACGGTGACATGGAAACTGGGTTCTATACAGACTTATAAGGCTTTAGTGTAGGGCCCTACTCATGGCATGTCCACTATAGCTACACAAAGGGGGTCCTCCTATGTTGAGAAACTACCATGTCGTTTGAATGAGAACTTCAAAATAATTCTCGCGGGAGCAAGATTACCAGTTTATGGCCTCAAAGCTTAAGACTACTGGGTCATGACGCCGTCACCGCGGTGCAAATGCACCGAACGAAACGAAAGCTAAAAGCTCCTGATCTCACACACGCAAATGGGCACATTACAAACAACCATTGGCTTCATGAGAAAATGGTAGTTTCCCGAAATACGGGACCCAAATATAGACCCAAAAATACTGCAACCTTCATTCAGGGGACCCTTAAAGAGGCAGCCCTAGTTTTGGGAAACCCTATAAAACCTACAAACCCTATATAACCCCTTAAAAACCCCCTTCAAGGGTAGCCCTTATTTTGGGAAACTCCCAGAGTTGACAGGTTAGGGCTCACTTTCGTGCTCGCCATGGGGTTGATACAAAATGTGCATGCTAGGCCTGGGTGAGCTACTTACATTAAACTACCACAATGGGTATGTATAGTAACTAATATGGTTTCCCCAATACGGTAACTTGAATTAAGTTACCATAATGGGTATATATATATATTACAATAATTAATATGGTTTCTCCCAACAGTAACCTAAATTAACTTACCATAATGGGTATATATAATCGTGAATATGGTTTCCACAAAATCGTATCTTATTTACAGTCCCTCAACCACTCAACCACCGGAACCCCTGCCGCTGCCTTCGCTTCCACGGCCTTCCAAACCCTAAACCCTAAACCCAAAACCCTAAACCTTCCAAGCATGATGATGACAACGCTGATGAGGACAAGACGGGCGTCGCTGACCAAAGAGCTGCTTGAAACATGTTACTTAGGAGGACCCCCCCACCCTGTAATAGTGGTAGATTAGGAATATAAGAGGACCCTAATGTAATCCCTATTATCCCCTATACTCACTATTACTGGGTGTGGGGTCAACCTAACACATTACGGAAGGGGAAGCTGACCAAATACTCAAAGCGTTGATAAGAAAGTTTGCCCAACGACAGCTGAGTTCAGCGCTGCCTGCGCCCGCGGCATCTCGTTTCCTAGGCTGCCCTGGGGCTTTCCTTCAAGTTTGCGGATTTCCTGAGTGAAGGTCTTGTGTGTGTCATGTTGCATCAGACATGGTAGGATGTGCCCAGAAGCCTTGCCAGTAGGACTTGAGAAAGCTCTGGAACAGGCTCGAGGTTGCTGATGTGTTAGTTCCATAACTACCGGGACCTGAAAATCCCAATATACGATAATAGGATGCGGTCCCGGGAACCAAAATTTCCGGAAACCCCAAAAACTTAAAGCTGTGGTCGTGGAGGCAGCGGTGCTGCCCTGCACCTAGGTGAGTTCGCTGGTTGAATTCGGAATTCTTGCTCTCAACACTTACAAATATATGGCTCACAAGGATCCTGCATACCGGGCAGGCTACTCTTGGGTTTCGTAGATAGCTACGTCCGGGCATGCACCAAGGTTCAGTGGTGCCATCCACGCTTGAACACAAATGAGCAAAAGCGGCAAGGAGGCCAGGCTTTGAATATAGTGATTATAGGGATTATAGGGATTATAGGGTATATATTGGGGGTGATTTAGGGATAATTGAAAATAAAATGGAAACTACTATAATGGGCTTTTAGGATCTCGCACCTCCAAAGCTGCACAACGCCGAACTGGTACTGATTGAGGAGATGCAGCGAACAAAAGCCAGCTTATGCGACGGTCGCCGTACTAAACATTCCTGCCCTCGAATACTCGACATTGCTTTCGAAGTTCCAAGTCGCGGATTGAAGGTTCATAGGAACCTTTCCAGACACTTCAAATAGGAATAATGATAATTAGTAGTAATGAGTGATAATAACTAGAAGACGAACAGTAATAATGCGAATGGTAATCAGTTTAGGAATAATGGTAAACATAGTAATTAGAAGAAACATGGTAATAGTTGTGCTAATAATACTAAATCGTCAACTCCGAGTTGTAGAAAATGCTCAACTCCACGCGCTTAAGCATGCACAGCATTCCGCGTATGCACTTGTGATCTTTTCAAGGAGCAAACTGTGTTCATAATTACATGCCTGACTGGACCTGTGGAAAACGTTGAGAGCAGCCGCGTGGATCAACATTGCCTAAATGCTAAACTCCTAAACCCTAAACGTCAGCGCTAGCTCAACTTCACCTCCACACATCTAAGCCCTCAACGGCACAGCCAACGCCCTACTGTTGAATCCTACTCGGTGCCCCATATTCGTTTTGAGGAAATTTTTTCGGCTCAAAATACTTCTGGGGAAAGTTCACGATGAGGCCAGAAAGCTCTCGGTTGTAAAGGCCGAGCCTCAAAATCTGAATGCCAGCTGTGTTGCTTCAAGATCACATTTAGGTTTTAGGGTTTAGGGTTCACTGAAACGCTAAACCCCAAACCAGGGTTTGGAATGAAATACGGGGACCAAAAACAAAACATTGAGAACTCAACCGTGTACTGTATCAGGCCGTGCAATCCAAGTCCAAAGGGGATGGTTCAGAGGACTCCTGAACCCCAATAATGAAACTTGTTTGGAGGGCCCACTTATGTAAGGGTTTCCCGAAATTTGGGAGGGTCCCTCTTGGGTAGCGTATAATAAGAACTATGATTTATTGGTGTCTATTTTGGGACCCTGCTTTTCAAACAACATGTCAAGAGTTCTTGAGGGGCGAATGATGAGGCTGGAAGCTCTTGGTTTTGAACTATTGCAGAGGGCTCAACCCTTCCTGTTCTATACAAAGCTGCGCAAAACTAAACCATGTCTTCCAACCATTACTGGGTTGCTTCTAAGGAACTTAAATTCAGTTACCATAATGGGCGTATATAGTAATTCACATGGATTCCCCAGTCTACTAATTCAATTAAAGTTCCTTAACAGCAACCCAGATGAATTCCAAGAGGAGCCTCATTTATCACCCCCTTGCTTTGCTTGTCTTACCTTACAAGGACATGGAGGATGCCCCCAGACCTCCCGATCTGTTCGTTATGGGAGGACCCCTGTTGGCTGTGGGGGCACACGAATCAGGATCCAACATGAAGCCTAAAGATCATCCGAGCATAAAGATGTATGTCTAAATTTAACTCCCACCTACCCTAAACCCTGACTCCTCGACACTTTTCCATGGGAGGAGCTAGCACATGCTCATACCACCTGTCAAGGGCGTAACGGCTGGACCCGAGTCCAGCAGAAGCAGAGGTCCCCCAAAAGTCCGGCCTCACATATAGAGATATAGAGCGGTATATAAAGGGCTATGTAGGGTTATATAGGGGAATGGAAAAGAAAATGGAACCTACTATTTAGGGGTTTAGGGATATTTCCATTAATCAAATGGAAAAGAAAATTGAAAATGAAAAGTGATACATAGGGTTATATATATATATATACGGGGAATGGAACAGAAAATGGGAGCTACTAGGGTTCAGGGATATGACCCCCTAGAATGGAGAATCAAATCTAAATAGAAATAAAATGGAAACTAGGAGTATACCAGGTGCAACTAGGGATTGGGGTCTCCGACAATTAGGGATACATCTTGGTTGGGGGTCCCTATAAGAAGGATCTGAATAGTATTGTTGGGTCTATAATGGGGTGCCCCTATCATGGGAAAGCACCACATTCTGGACGCCGCGGTGCCCGCCCTGCGTACACCCTTTGAGACGTATTCGACGTATTTCAAGAAGCGTATTTGAAGGGCTTGTTTCCCATGCCATTCCCAACCCAGCAGACCAGAATGCGCAGCAACGCGAAGCTGTAGGGTTTGAAGCTCAGGGCTCAGGGATCTCGATGCATGAGGCTATGGGGGGCTGTCACGTGGGCAGGGTATGTTATGCATCATATCTTCAATGTCTCTCAGAGTAGGGTTGGGAGTTATCCTAAATGAGGCTAAGTCGCGACTCAAGGGTCCATCATGCTTCCCGGAAGGCGGTCCTAGTACTCTGCTTTCATTTGCTAAGAAAGATTCGACATACCCCAGGCTCCAGTGCACAAAGTCTTAGACTGGC